CTGGTGCGCTCCGTGAATCCCAGGGCCATGGGGTGATGGTGGGGCGAGGGTCCCATGCTGGAGGACTGCCAGGTGGGTGTGTGCAGGAGGCATGAGTCCCGGGGGGCTGCTGGCAGCGGGGGCTAACCCCTGTTTTCTCTCAGGCGGGAGGATGCTCCCCCCTTGCATGGGGACAAGCCTATTTTGAGGAAGTTTGAGTAAGTAGAGGCATGCGTGTGTCTCCAGGCATGCGCTTCCTCGGGCCGGTGCCTGGCTGGAGGTGTCTGGGCTCCAGGCACACAGGGCATAAGGAGCAAGAGGGTCCCCACCAGTCCCTGCCTGGGTGCCCTCCTGGGTTTTGCAGCTTTTGGAGGAGGGTCGCAGCAAGCACCAGGTCTGTTGGGACCAACAGGTGATGGTGGCACCTGATGGCACGAGTCCTCAGCTCCCATGAGACTGTGGCATCCCTGTCCCTGAGCTGTGGTGGCATCACCCGTGTCTCTGCAGGGCCCAGAGGAGGTTGAGTCCTCCGGGTTCCTGATGCAGTGTGGCATCAGGGGTTTCTGTGCTGTCGGGCTGGCTGTGCAGTGCGGCATGGTGTGGTTTGCCCATCATGGTTTTGCCCCATCCCTGCCTTGCTCCCAGTCAACATCCACCCCTCTCTCGCAGAGCTCGCTTCTTGGAGAACCTGGCTGCAGCCCAGAAGGAGAAGATCTCTTCCATGGCCAAGGGACGGCTCGATGTCCTCAGCGATGCTGTGCTGGAGCATTCCACTGCTCTTGCGCAGGACAGGAACAGCGGCAGCCCTGAGCCCGGGATGGAGCCAGCCAGCATAAGTAGGTGCTGCCAGGGTGTGTGTTCCCAGCTCTAGGCTTATTGGGGTCCCTGGGGTGGGTGTTAGTGGCCCCTCTGCCCCCACTCCATGCCTGTGATACCCAGAGCCATGGAGGAGCTGGGTGGTATCTCCCCATCCTGCTCCGAACATCAGCATCTGAGCACACCCCACCAGGGAGCAAGACCCCAACTCTGTGTGCATCCCAGCAGCACCTTCCTCTTCCAAACAGGCTGTCCCAGGCTTTTCCTTTCTTCCTGCAGGGTCTCGCCTGGCTCGGCCAGACACCACCGACTCGTGCAGCACCATCTCCTCTGACACCAAGTTCATGCTGGACATGCTCTATGCCAAGGGCTCCTCGGAGCCAGGGAAGGAGAAGGTCTTCCCCGAGGTCCCATCATCCCCCCTGGTCCAGGGTGAGGCAGAGATGGATGGCGAGGGAGGTGGCAGCAGGGAGCAGGAGGGCGCCCGGCTCTGTGGCAGGGCTCCAGATGGACCGGTGGCCAGTGCCCACGCCAAGCTGGCACGTGCCATGTCCAGCATAGATGCCGAGACCCACACGCAGAAGCTGGAGAACACCGGGATGATGCCCATCAAGAAGGATGTGGAGCTGACATGGGAGCGCCTGGAGGCCAACCCCATGCAGCTGAAGATCAAGGACTTAGACTTCACTGATCTGGGGGAAGAAGAAGACTTTGACATCCTGGACACGGGGCCCATGACCAATGGCTCCTTCCTCTCTCCCGGCATCAAAGCAACAAGCACTGGACCTCTCATGGTTCCCCCTCCACCTCCTGTGGTCCCTGGCTGCCCACCACCTCCCCCTCCACCTCCTGTGGTCCCCGGCTGCCCACCACCTCCACCTCTTGTGGACCCTGTCTGTCCACCCCTCCCAGGGCTGCCAGGCCCCTCAGCAATAGATGGCCCCTCCCAGGCCAAGAAGAAGAGGACAGTGAAGCTCTTCTGGAAGGAGCTGAAGCAGCTGGATGGCACAGTGGGGCCGGGCAGATTCGGCCAGTCAACACTGTGGGCGTCCCTGCAGAACGTTGAGGTCAATGCTGCCAAACTGGAGCATCTCTTTGAGTCACGGTCAAAGGAAGTGCCAACTTCAAAGGTACCAGTGGGCTGGCACCCATCAGGCAGGGGGACTTGAAGGGTGGGAGGAAGGCTGGTGGTTCCTGTGGGGACCTTAGGCATGCACGGTCACCCCTACCCTGTGCTGAGGATGGGTACCTGCAGCCCAGAGGCTCTGTGGGGACAGCGATGGGCAGTGCTCAGGTCAGGCTCACCACGGGGTCCCTGAGCAATTCCCCGTGTCCATGGTGTTTCCATGAAGATGAGCCCTTTGCCTGGCTGTCCACATCCATCCTGTCCTCTTTGCAGAAGGCCATCGATGGGAAGAAGGTGGTGGTGGTGCTGGACCCCAAGAGGAGCAATGCCATCAACATTGGCCTCACGGTGCTGCCCCCTGTGCACATCATCAAGACGGCCGTGCTCAACTTTGACGAGTTTGCAGTCAATAAGGAAGGGATTGAGGTGACCATGGGGGAAGCTCAGCCTCTCTGAGGTCCTCACGCGGGGCGTTGCCCCTGGCCTGGAGGCCTCCATGCCATGAGGCCTGCGCTGCCAGCGCTGGGGTCACACGTCCTGTGGTGACGTGTCTGGAGTCTGACACTCCCCTCTTTGCCTGCTCTAGAAAATCCTGACCATGGTCCCGACTGAGGAGGAGAAGCAGAAGATCCAGGAGGCCCAGTTGGCAAACCCTGATGTGCCCTTGGGCTCTGCGGAGCAGTTCCTGCTTTCCCTGTCTGCCATCAGCGACCTCACAGCCAGGCTCCAGCTCTGGGCCTTCAAGCTGGACTATGAGAGCCTGGAGCAGGTACAGAGCCACATGCCCCAGCAGTGTTCCTGGTGGGGACCAGCCCCGTCCAAGTTTGGGACGTGCCGTCCTGGCTGGGGACGGGCTGCAGGTCCCCAAGGCAAGCATGGGCTTGGGTTGGCCATGAGGTGGTTGTCCTCATGGGGAAGGGGGAAGCTCCCAAAGGAGGGGGTCGCCAAGGTGTCTCACCTGCCTCTCTCCTCACCCAGGAGATTGCAGAGCCGCTCTTTGATCTGAAGGTGGGCATGGAGCAGCTGGCCAGAAATCACACCTTCAAGTGCATCCTAGCCACGCTGCTGGCCATGGGCAACTTCTTGAACGGCTCCCAGGTGAGGAGCAGGGTGTGGGGGGACGTGGCCTGTCTGCAGTGCTGCAAGGACAGGACCAGGCATGGTGTGTGGATACCCAGGAGGGACGATGGGAAGCCTGGGGTGGGGCCTGAGGCTGGGTGGTGCTGATGGGGGGCCCAGTGGGTCTGCAGACTGGAGGTCTGCTGGAGGAGGGATGGAGAGGCCCCTGCTGACTCCATTGGGGTTTCAGAGCAGAGGCTTTGAGCTGGGCTACCTAGAGAAAGTCTCGGAAGTGAAGGACACGGTGCATCGGCAGTCCCTGCTCCACCATCTCTGCCAGATGGTGGTAGAGAAGTTCCCAGAAACCACTGACCTCTACTCCGAGATTGCCTCCATCACCCGCTCCGCCAAGGTGAGGCAAGGCAGAGGACACTCGGGCAAGGCACGGGTGTGGGTCCCGTGGCTGACCCACCCCACCAGCTCGGCCAGGGGCTGACATTTGCTCTTTCAGGTTGACTTTGATGAGCTGGCCAACAGCCTGGTGCAGCTGGAGCGGAGGTGCAGGACATCCTGGGATAACCTGAAGGTGATTGCCAAGCACGAAACCAAGCCGGTGCTGAAGAACAAGCTGACGGACTTCCTCAAGGACAGCACCCAGCGCATTGTTGTCCTGAAGGTGGTGCACAGGCGCATCCTCAACAGGTCGGTGGCTTGAGGTCCTGGGGACAAGGCGAGAACCCCATGGTCCTATTGGTGGCCTGCCACGATGGATGTCCCCACAGGTTTCACTCCTTCCTGCTGTACCTGGGATACCCGGCGAACGCGGCGCGGGACGTGAAGGTGACACCCATCTGCAAGCTGCTGCGGGAGTTCGCCCTGGAGTACCGCACCTGCCGGGAGCGCGTCCTGCAGCAGCAGAAGAAACGGGCTGCCTACCGCGAGCGCAACAAGACCCGGGGACGGCTCATCACCGAGGTACAGGGATGCTCGGCTGGCTGCCACCACCAGGTGATGCCCCCCCAGGTCCCTGACACCCACCTCTCCTCCCACTGCAGACAGAAAAGTTCTCTGGCATCGCTGAGGCCACTTCATCACCCGCCGTGGTATCCAGCGGCCCCGAGGAGCAGATGGAAGTGGGTCACGAGAGCATGAAGACCCTGCTGACCTCCCCCACGGATGCCCCTGCCCGCCGCAGCCGGGCCAGCCGGGGTAGGAGCAGGTGGCAGAGGCACTCGAGGCATGCCCAAGCCGGCTGGGCACGGCTGATGCCAGCATCCCTGTTGTCCCCATACAGGAACAGGGCACACCACCCCAGCCCAGGGCTCTCCAGCCCAGGAAGATGTTCCCAGTTCCCCAGATGATGCTTCAGATGAAATCATGGACCAGCTGGTGAAATCTGTGACGCACAACCCCAACCCCCGGCCCTGCGCCAACAAGGAACGCAGGAGGTCCCGTGGCAATAGGAAGTCCTGTAAGTCCCATCCCTGTCCCCATGCCCTGTCCTGTCTCTGTCCCCATGCTCTGCCCCTGTATTCTGTCCCATCTCTGTGTCCCTGCCCAGATGCTCTTTCTCATCTCTCTGTCCCTGTCCCCTTGCCCTATCCCATCTCTGTGCCTCTGTCCCACCTCTCTGTCCTTGTGCCCTGTCCCCATGACCTAGCCCATCTCTGTCCCTGTGCCCTGTCCCATTTCTGTGTCTTTCTTCCCATGCTCTGCCCAGTCCCTGTACTCTGTCCCGTGTCCCTGCCCAGATGCTCTTTCACATCTTTGTGTCTCTGTTCCCCTGCTCTGTCCCTATGCCTTGTCCCATCTCTGTGTCCATGTCCCCTTCCCACACTGAGCTCACCAGGCCGCAGCAGGAGGTACCCTGGGACTGGACCCCATTGCCACCCCTCCCCAGCATGCCAGGACCACCACGTCCGGGCAGGCACCCAGCGCATGGGGACCCTGGCAGCCAGCACTGCTCGTGCTGCCACTGCCATGCTCTCCTCTTCCCCCAGTGCGACGGACGCTGAAGAGCGGGATCAGTGACGACCTGGTGCAGGCGCTGGGCCTGGGGCGGGCATCTGGCATGGAGGTTTGAGGAGACCAAGGGGGCTCATGCTGCTCCCCACCACCAGCAGCCCCCAGGACAGGACATGCTGCCAGTCCCTGGTTCTCCAGGACTGGCACGCTCTGCACTCTTGGTTTCACCTCGCTCTTCCCTGCTGGCCTCCAGCTCCTGGAGGTGCCATCAGCAGGATTGGAGTGATGTCCCGGAGCTGCTCCATAGTGGCCGGGATGGAGGATGCTCGGTGCCCGTGCATGTGAGCAGAGACCCGGGAGTTTATCTTCTCAACAGTATTAGAAGGGTCAAGGGGCTGGACCCAGGTCCCCTCGAGGAACTGGGTTTGGCCTGTGGCCACTGTGGCAATAAAGTGATCTGACACACTGCTGGCGTCCCTTGTCCCTGCAGCTGGGTCACCTCACTGCTGGGCTGGGGTGCCAGAGGCTCCTGATGCCGTGCGCTGGAGCAGGCACTGCCAAAGTCAGGGGGGAAGGGGTGATGCTCCCTCCAGCATCCCTGGGGAAGCTGTTGCCGTGGTCCTGAGCAGGATCTGGCTGCTGCCAGAGATGTCCCAGGTTCGGCCCTGCCTGGGAAACCCAATGTCCACATCCCCTGTAAACCCCTGAGAGGCCGGGGGACTCCTGGGCACACTTGCCCTGCAGCAGCCAGCCCTGTGGCTTGGCTTGCAGGCACCATCCTCACTCCTAGGACAGTGTGATCCCCTCTGTACCGGGACACCGGGGGGGACCCTGCCTGCAGGAGCAAGGACTGCTGCCAGGCTCAAGGCTGCACGCTCAAGGGCAGGAGCGGCGGCTCGAGCCCAAGGCCACGGCGCAGTAAAATCAAATACATTCCCCGTCTCAAACCTCATCTCCCTTACAAACCTCTCCTGAGGGATTTTAGCCAGACCAGCACCTGGGTCTGAGGCAGGTTGTTTCCTTCCCAGAGTGGGACCAGGGTGCAGCAGCCACATTGCCCCCTGCAAACCCAGCCCTGGCCAAGCCACCAGTCTCAAACATCTCCCTGTGCTTGGCAGAGACGGGCTGTCGCGTGATGAAAATGCTGCCAGGGCAGCATCTGCCTGTCCCTGTGGGGCCTGGGAGATGTCCAGGCAGGAGTATGCCACCTCCTGGCTCATGCCACCCCAGGCACAGATTAAAACCCGCTCTGGGTGCTGCCTGCGATGCTTCCCGTGGGTGGGTACCATTTCTGAGCGTCCCCCTCTGCCAGCTGCAGTGCTCTGTGCACTGTCACCTGTGGCAGAGGCATTTGGGAATGGTGTCACGTCATCCATCACGGCAGCTCGACCTCGGCGCTGCCTCCAGCCCTGAATCCCACGCAGCAGGTCTCTGCGGCTTTCAAGGAATGAAGAAAAACTCCACCGGGCAGGGCAGCTTCTTCCTCCCGGCTAACCTCTGCCCAGGGTTGCCCCTCCGGCGAGGCTGGACATGCTGGAGGAGCTGGGCAGTGCCAGCCAGTTCCAGGTTGCGAGGCGCCTGCGGTGGTCCCGCGTGGTTTGGGGACAGTGGGATACCGTGCCAAGAGCTGCAGGTGTCCCAGAGGTGCCCCACGATGTGGTCTGACCCTCCACCCCTCCGGGTGCTTGACTTGGGTCTCCAAAGAGATGAAGAGGTCAGGAAAGGTGACATCGAGCTGCTCAGATGCACAGCGGGAAGGAGGAAAGGGTGGGAAGCATCTGCACCTGCCCCAGGTACCCAAAGTGACATGTGACACCCCCAGGACTGTGATTCCCACGGGATCACTGGGGAAACTGAGGCAGGGTGCTGTGATTGTCCCCCCCCAAGGAGTCTGGCAGCGCTCAGGGTGGCCATGTCCTCAGCGAAGGCCTCCACAAACCCGGTTATTTTTTTCCATCTGGGTTTTTTTTTTTTGCAGCCTTGGTGATATTTCCAGGATGCCCGGCCACACGCTGCCCTTGAGCGGCGCCTGAAGTGCTTGGCTTGGCCGCGGCACAAGCGGCTTTTGCCAAAAAAACAAACCAGGCAGGCGCAGACACCCCTGGGATGGAGAGGGGGTGGCGGGGTGCTGGAGGCTCCGCTGGGAGCAGAGGCAAGTTCCTAAGTTTGGG